TATATATATATATATTCTAAGAGTGAGTTTACTTAAGCTTATTCTATTCAATATCTCATATTTCACATCAAATTTTAATGATTCAGACATTGAATTAAAAGTTCTTAATGCATAAATCAAGTCTAAATTTTTTTTAAATGTCTAAAAATTATTTATTTCATTTCATTAGTTTAAATTGACAGATGATCATAAAAATATTTTATACATTCATTTGAATTAACAAAATGGAGTATCAAATGATTTTTAAATTTGTTAAAAATTTTGCAAACTTAATCTATGATTAAAAAAAATTAATTTAAAAGTAGGGTCTTTAAAACTTAATTTAGAATATGAGTTATTGAATGAAGTTAGTCTGAGTAAACTTACTTTTGAAATAAGTGGAACTACTTATCCCAAAAGTAAATTTACTTAGAATTACTTCACTCAATAACTTATATTTTTTAAAATCAAATCTTAATGATTTAACTATTAAATTAAAAGTTCTTAATGCATAGATCAAGTTTATAAATTTTTTTAAAAAATGAAAACTATTTGATACTCTATTTTATTAATTTAAATTGATAGATAATTACAAAATCATTTTTATATGTTGATTTAAATTAATAAAACAGATTATCAAATAGTTTTCAAATTTGCAAAGTTAATCTATACATTAAAATTTTTTAATTAAACGATTGGATCATTGAAATTTGATATAAAACATGAGTGATTGAGTGGAATTAGTATAACTAGACTTACTTTTGGAGTAAATAAATCTCTTTTATATATAAAGATGAAGGATTCACTTATTTCAAGAGCAAGCTTACTCTACTCAATAACTTATGTTTTATATCGAATTTTAACAATTCAACCATTAAATTAAAAATTCTTCATGTATAAATCAAGTATGCAAATTTCTACAAAATTTGAAAATTATTTGATACTCCGTTTTATTAGTTCAAATTGATAAATAATTATAAAGACATTTTACATGTTGATTTAAATTAATAAAAAAAATTTATCAAATAATTTTTAAATTTTATTAACGTGGTCTATGGATTAAATTTTTTATTCAAAAATTTAATTGTTAAAATTTGATATACAGCATAAAATATTAAATAAAATAAATCTATAAAAATTTATTTTTAAAATAATTAGATTTTTTTTCTCCCTGTATATAATATTATCTTTACCGATTCTACGATCAATAAGCAAAAGTAAACCAATTCATCAATAGTATTTAAAATATTTGTGACATTGACATTATATGATCCATAGTTAAATCCTATTCATCCTTAATTTGTCACCATCATTTAAGTAATGTCCAACAAAATGTTGTTGGCTCATCAATACGTATAAATGAATGTGTCTTCATTATGTCAAATTATAAACAAGATTATTATTGAGACGGGTTTATCGTTAACTAATTCATATTATCTGCATCATAGTCAGATTTGAGATTCTTTGATGTCTATGTGTTAATCTCTCTAATTACGAAATTTTATTTAAAGAACTATTTTCTTATATAAATGTTCTTTATTTTACATGAATTTGTTTTAATTTTTTGTTTTATTAAGAATATTCTTCTACCAATAATTGAAAACTAATTCTATTAATTAAATTTCTATCCGTATGTTTTAAAAAATCAATTATTCCTAGATCATTAAAAAGGGTCACTCACATTTTATCCACACACCAAGTCCAATAGAACTGGACGAGAGGGGTGTATTAAAAAAAATTCAAGTCTCATATCGACTAAATATTAGATAATTAAATAGTATATAAGTAAAAAATTATCCTCACATTACAAATAAGTTTTATAGGGTTGAGATCATTAAAAAGGGTCACTCACCTTTTATCCACACACGATCAAGTCTAATAGAGTTGGACGTGAGGTATGTATTAAAAAAAATTCAAGTCTCACATCGACTAAATATTAGATAATTAAATAGTATATAAGTGAAAAGTTATCCTCACATTACAAATAAGTTTTATAGGGTTGAGATCATTAAAAAGGGTCACTCACCTTTTATCCACACACAAAGTCCAATAAAGCTGGTCGTGAGGGGTGTATTAAAAAAAATCCAAGTCCTCACATTACAAATAAGTTTTATAGGTTGAGTTAGGTTCAAATATACTATTATAATGATATCAAATTCATCTAGATCTATCACTCTAAATGGGTCACCCACCATTGATACATGCACCATGGGCATGAAGGGGTGTATTGAGAAAAAAAAAACTCAAGTCCTGCAAATCCTAGATCATTAAAAAGGGTCACCCAACATTTATCCACGTACCAAACTCAATAGTGCTAGATGTAAGGGAGTGTATTAGAAAAGGTCAAAGTCTCACATCGAATAAAGACTAAAAAATTAAATAGTATATAAGTGAAAAATAACTTTTATCTTACAATTCGATTTTATAAGATTGAGTTAGAGTTAAATCTACTATTTAAAGAATTATATGTCAACTTGCTAAACCTTGTTGATATCCTTATTTAATGTTTGTTACATAATTGACACTTATTCAAAAAGGTAAATAATGTTGGGATAAAAAGAAAGTTTGTATTATTAAAGTAAAAAAAATAACATAGATTTATATTTACGCATAAAATTTATAATAAAAAATTTAATTTAAAATAAATAATGTTATATCAATATAAAAACATGTATAAATACTTGATAACAATATACTCTCCTTAAATATATATAATTAAAATACATTAATGATATTAAAGTCACGATGTTACTTAAAAAAGAACATAAATTTATAATTACATACAAAATCTTCATATGAAAGTTACATAATAATACTAATAAACTACTCTTATAAAATATATTTCTTTATAAAATACAAATAAAAAATAAATAATCAAATGTGCCTCTTATTTATTTTATTTTACATGAAGTATGTAATAAGAAATGCATGAATTACATTTCTCTAATTGTGATTCCTAACTCCGTTTTGTCCATAAATAAAATAAAACCGAGCAGAAACCACCATTTCAACAAGCTATTTAAGATTTTTAGTAACCTTCGTTTATTTTAAGATTTTTATGTACTAATGTAGTAAAAAAAGAACCCATCCAAACACGAGCCTATAAAGTAGACCTTTCGTTGAGCGTTAAATAATTAAAGTTACATAGAATTGATTCTTCAAAAGATAAAAGAAAACAAATAAAATATTTGTTTTCTTAACAATAAATAAAATAAATAGGAATTAAGTCCAGTGGTGATCTTATCATTACGTCAAAGCTGAAAACATTTTATTTTAGTGTGAGCCACCACCAACCTTCAATATAAGATTCGCTAGTGGAACTTATGAAGTAGTTATGTATCCACTTTTACTATTATTTGGTTTAATATTATTGTGAAATATATATATATATATATTTTGAAGGTTTAGGGTTTAGGATTTCTGCTTATATATATAAGCAGAAATTCATTTATTTTTAAAAAAAATTAATTAAACTAATTTTATTTAATAATTTATATTTTATGTTAGATTGAATTATTAAATTAAATTAATATATAAATTAAATTTATAAAAATTTAAAAATTATTTAATATTTTATTTTATTAATTTAAATCAATATATAAAAATATTTTTATAATTATTTATAAATTTAAATTAATGAAATAAAATATTATTTATTTTTAATATTTTAAAAGAAAATAACATAATTAATTTACATACTAATTTTTTTTAATTTCATTATTGAATGATTGAAATTTGATTTCAACCGTTATTATTTACATTCATCTTTTATATATATATAAATTCCACCATGGACATGGTGTTGGTGAATCATTGCCAGTATAAACTGAAAAGAAGGACAAGCATTAAGGTATTAAATATTTAATGATCAGTCTTTTACTTTATAGCCAATATTTATGGCTCTCTCTCTCTCAATCAAGCACACACATTCACACATGTTCAACCCCACAAACTCTTACGGAATAGTGACTGTGCTTTTCCTGCTTAAAGTGTAGTGGGGTTGTGCTTTTTGGTTCCATCTGCTGTTAGATTTTTCTGAACAACAATGAAAACAGTTGCATCACAACTCTCATGTCTGCAAGCCATAGAGCTTTAGTTCTGAAAAATAGATAAAAGGTGGAAACACGAGTGTCTTCCACCAAGATCATTCATTCTTGCGCCATTTCATAGCTGTCTTAATGCTTCGGTTGACATTATTGAGGCTATGCTTTAATTGCAGAGTTTATCATGCTTGTCCTTGGATGTGACAAGCAAGTTCTGCTTCCACCAAATTCTCTTCAATTTTGCTCTCCATCATGGGTTGTTGGTGAAAGCTGAAAATCTTCAGAGTTGATCTAGTTTTCCTAGAGGAGAAAATGGGGCTAAAGCTGATTTTTCTGCTGTTTAAGCTGCATTTAGTTGTCAGCACTCAGCAGTTGCATGAACATGCAGGTATGAGCATAATTCAGGTTTTCTAAGATGGTTTTTGAATGTTGGATCAAATTGGGCAGATGATAAATTAATCCTAAACTTAATGTTTGAGTGTTGTATTTGCTTATGCGTGTGGTTTAAAAGCAGTTACAATTGGTATATTCTATGTATTCGGATGTCTATAATCTTTGCTGATATGGGTTTCTTTGATGATTCTCCCCTTAAGATTGTTGATCATAAAAATAAGCTTAATGTAAGTTCCTAGTTGTGCAGTTCATGTGTCAAAGTTTGGCCTACCAGTACCTATCCCGTATGCTAGATTCTCCTTAGTTCAGGTTCACTGTTCACTACTCGCAATGGAAAAATGTTTTTTTTTTTTTTTTTAAATCATGATCAAACCTCTAATTTTACTGCAGTCCAATTCTCTTCAAAAGAAACTCAGATACCATTCTTTTCACATGGGATCAAGATCGGTATAGCTAAAAAAACTTTGTGGTAATAGCCTTAGATTTCAGTATTTACATTTTAGGCATGGCAATCGTTTTGGTTAGTGTATTTGATAGTGATTGTGCAACCATTGGTTGGACAGCAAGCTTTGGATTTTATGAGCACCAAGCAGGTTGCTCACTTTTTGTGGGGGACAGTGGCAATAATTTAGTAACTTGATAATCAGTGCAAGTAATACGCTGAAAAATCAGCAACGAAATTTGTTTTTGCTATTGCTATGAATGTTTTAGCTTCGCATAGATCTGTGATATCACCGTATGAGTGGCATTGGTTGCCATTACTTGCTGCATGAACAATTTACTTCTACATCAAATTTTGTGTCTAGTCATCTCATTGGTATTTCTTTAGGATAATCCAGATACTAATTCAAATTTCATGTATTTGATAAATATTATGAATAACATGAAACACCAATAATAAAACAAATGTTCTTACTGCTTTGATCTTGAATGCTTACTGACATGGAGGGCAAGCGTGCAACCAGAGTCAAACACTGGAGAACTCAGTGATAATATCAATTTTCAAATCAATGTTTTGTTATGTGTTTCAGTATTAAACTTTTTCCTGGTTACTCTGTAACAAGGTTGATATGAAATCCCAACAGGCCATGGCTGTAGTATAAAATCAATGAGGATATGTAAAGTTCCGGTTAATTAAACAAAGCAGTTACTCTGAGGAATTTAGCTTTCTAAGGAACTAGCTATACCCTCAGAACATGTTGAAGATCATGAAAAAGGTATAGACAATTAATGAAATAGATTTTATGGATCTTTTAGAACAAGGAGCACAAGCCATCTCTCCACCATAATTTCTTTCTACATAGGCCCTCACCTCCCCAAACTATCCATAAATCTATTTACAATTGGATCCAGTAAGGAAATTTTACATTAATTTATTTTATAGCTGATAACCGCCTCTATAGGAAGTTTCATGCCCATAATTATCCTAAATTAAAACTTATCTTTCCATCTGTAGCCACCAAGCTACTACATTCCAGTGACAGAAGCCATTTTAAAATTGCAATCCCACCATCAAAGTCATCTTCTGAAGTTCATTCAAGTATTGCACAACCACCATCTGAGTCATCTTCTGGTGTACCTGCAAGTATTGCATTTTCACCTTCCAAATCAATTCACAAAGCTCCTACAGTTATATGGACACATGGTTCTGTGGATTCTCCTGTATCACATCATAAGCATCACCATTCCAAAAGAAAGTTCCGCAATCCAACTCCAGCACCAACCTACCCAGTTCAGGCTCCTACATACAGTCATCAAGGTTAGATTCTCTGATTGGAAGATCTTGAATAATTTTTTAACACATTTTTGCATTTATTGACACTAGAGTGTTAAAATTAATTTCATTCTTCTGTAAACTTCTATTGAATAGGTCCTTCAAACTTATCACAGCCTCCTTTCTCTTCATCAAATATAAAGGATATTCGTGCCCCTGCACCTGCACCATCACCAACAGATCTGCCCGACCACGTGGATGGTATAAAATCATATTTATGTCATTCCTTTTACAATTCACTTTTGTTCTTAACTTCTTATATTTTGTTAAATAGAACCTGACTGTTTTTTATATCTTTTTTGGATCAGTACCCTCTTCTTCACCTAGAATTTCTCCTCTAGGTTCATCATTGAAGAAGGAAAAGGCTCCACCTCCAGCATATGCATTGGTTCTGCCACCTCCACCTCCTAATAAAGGTATTCAGTATTCTTATATTAATCCTGTAACTCTATTAACTTAGAGTCTTGTTAAAATTACACCAGTTCTTCGATTCTTCCTTTTCAATCATCTCAAGAAAGCTATCTGATGTTCATCCTACATGTAGATTGCTTGTCGCTGACTTGCTCAGAGCCCTTAACATATACACCTCCTGGATCACCTTGTGGTTGTGTATGGCCACTTCAAGTTAAACTCCATATCAACATTGCAATATACAAGTTTTTTCCTTTGGTTTCACAGCTAGCCAAGGAAATTGCAGCAAGTGTTCTGCTGAAACATACCCAGGTTCGA